ATAATAATATACAATTCATATATTACTTTACCAATAGTAATATACTTTATTTCACCTGTTATTAAATACATACCTACATTTATTTACTTAAAATTAACAAACATACCTAATTGATAATATTATAGGCTATACATTTATTGTGGTATAACAAAAAGAAAAAAGAAATAAGAATATTATTATAGTATTATTTAAAAGCTTTTTATGCACCTGAGCTCAAATTATATTTGATGGAAACTCAATAAAATAGGATACTACATTGGAACCAGATTAATAATTTAAATCTGGTTTAAACCTGAATTTGAATTAATTTGATTAGATACATACATCATTTGCAATTGTTCTTACTGTTTTATGTGTTTATTTTATTGTGTTTTACTGTTCAAATTACATTAAAGTAATTAAAAATTTATGATTGATAAATATTATTTCTAGTGTTAATAAAATAATAACATTTTATATTTTTGATGTAGGTACTCCATTGTGTTTCAATTATTTTGTTATTAAAAATAATAGTAAATTACAGTGTAGACTCCAATATAATATTTGAAAATTTTTAATTTATATGGACAAGATTAGTCAGTACAAAACTTATGAGGGAGCCCGTTTGGTGTTATATATATATATATATATATATGTATTTTATTTTTTGTATGTTATAGAGAACATTAGTTCAAGTCAAAAAATGCTGGAACAATATTAAAACTAAAAGAAAATCAGAAATAACTGCCCACAAACAAGCTCTTTTAAGAACAGGGGGTGGTCCAGAAGTACCTAAACTATTAGAAAATCCAGCAATTGACAAATTTGCAAACATCGCACTTGAAATACCAGATTCCATTGATAGTGATGTACAATGTACCGTTACACCTGATAGATCTTTGGAATTTAGTTGTTTTGATGATGAGAATCTATCTGGTAATTGTTAAGAAATATTTCGTGTATGAATAAAAATGTATTTTATTACTTGTATTGTTGTTGTAATAGATTCAAATGATAATGATGTTCAAACTTTCACTAAAAAT